GTCATAAAACAGCATGTGTGTTACTGTTACATGAGAAACTGTCTGTTCTGTAAGCCTTCACCTGAAGTACAATAAAATATTAAAAAAAATAAAAAAAAAAAAAAAAAAAAAAAAAATAAAATAAAATTTTATTGTGTTTTTGGTGAAAGTTTACACAGCAAATGAGGTTCCTATCTGACAATTTCTACACAAATTGCTCTTAATTGTGTCTGGTTGTTCTGTTTCCAGCACTCTAGTTTCCTTGCCCCCTTAAGTTCTCACCTTTGCTTTAGGGTAATTGTTGACCTTTTGGTCTCATATAGATGTATTTTTAATGAAGCACCATACTCACGGAGAATACGCTGAACATTCTTAAAACATACAAGTCAATGTTTTATCCAAGAAATATTTTTAACTATAATGCACTCCTAGTGGCAACTTTTACAGTACTGAAAAAAACATTCCTTCTAATTACTATGACCTATCGTAATAAGTTATTACTAGTATTAAATAGAACAAAAACTAAATTTGTTGCCAATTTTTAATCGGAATATTTATTTCTTCTGATTTTTATGATATCTTATTCCCATTAAGGTAAAAACCAAACAATAACAACAACAAAAAACTCATAAAACAGAATGTACAGCAAGTTGCTTAAACTGTATATAATTTTTTACTCTCCAGTCAGAGATAATTTGCAATTTGAAATTATTAAATGTTCTTACTCTTATAAGAGTAATAAAAGATACTGATTTTTTTTTTTTTTTGAAGAGCAAAAGTATCAGCACATTAGCCCTAAAAAAAAAAAAAGAGTGACCTTATAAATTTATGAAGGTAAAAGCAAAGGACATTACAAAATTAATAAGAAACATTTTGAATAAGTATCTGAACTAAATCAATCTTTTAATCTTAAAATCACATTCTCTTCATCAGAATATTCATTTATTTAGAGTGCACAGGAATGGCAAGATTTTTGAAATACCTTATAAAAGAAATGGTACCATCAGAAATGTGTAAGTGAAGGGTTATAAAAATAATAGTGAATGTGAAATCCTAAAAGAATTTCATAAATTTAATTACATCAATAGATTATTCTCAGTGATGAGACTAGAAAGCACTTTATGAGATCTCTTTTGGATTGAATTACCACACATAGGGCTGTACATCTTATGACTATGTACCATGTTAATGACAACACATCCTTTATTTGAACACACAGAGGAATAAAATTATGAAGCTAATAGAGACTTAAGACGTTTTCACACCCTATATTCTATATTAGCATTCCCAAATTCCTAGCTCATGCTGTCTTGTGAAGGAAAAAATCCATTACTAAAAACAAAGATAACATTTCAAATACAATTAAAAACAAAAATCAATTTTAAACCAACTTACAGTATTGATATTCTCCACATCTACAAAAACTAACATATTGCCTCCTCTGCCTTCCTCATCTTCAAGAGAATTACTTCTGCAGACAGTGGCTCGTACATTCAAAGATCGGCTAGTACAAATAACTGCAGTGTGTCTTAATATTCTGTGACTGAAGAAGTAAAAAAATTCAAATTTAATCAAAGGACCTCTCTCTACGTTATGTTCTCTAATTTCAAATAAAGATTAAAAAAACTGATCACTATGAGTGCCATTTACAGTCTAAAAAACAAAGAATACAATAGAGTAAAATCATCTTGTTAGCCTTACTTTAGTTTCTTTCTTCTCAGTTTGTAAGGAAACAATCTCCCTGACACCAGGGTTTCTGCCTGCTCATCCAACCCATCTGCATAGCACATAAAAAAATAATCTTCACATAGGAATGTCCCGATCAGGCCTCTTCCCTGACAGTGGTTACAGAGTTACCGAATGCTTACCAAGTAAAATTCAAATCTGGTATTTAAGGCCCTTCCACAACACAGCTTTACCTTTCAAGGTTTATTCCCCTTCACTTCCTTTACACATGTTCATACAGCAGCCAAACTAACTATATTCAGTTTATACTTTCTAACCTACAAATCTTTGTTCTACACATTAGCCACCTCTGCAATGCCCAATACTCTTAAGTCTACCTCCTCAATACTCAAATTCTGAAATCTTTTCTTTCTTTGGAGACTCATCTCACAACTGCTTCATGCCACAGAGCTTTCCCTGACTAACCCGGGCAGAGCACTCTCTCGATCATCTTAACGAGAATTAACATTTATTGAGGACCTAAAATATACCTGTACTCACAAATATTACCTCATTTTAACCTCACAGTAAGTCTTACAAAATATTTTAATTATTCCATTAAATAAAATAAACGGACCATAATTATTCCTACTTAATTTCATTCTGTTGTACAAAGGGTCGCTATAAGTCAGAACCAACTCAGCAGCACCTAACAACAATAATTTCATAAAAAATGACAAGGGCACTATCACAAATAAAATATTCTTTTGTACAATGTAAAGACCACAGATTCTTGGGTAGGCCAGTTAGGTTTGATTTCTTCCAGTGATCAACTATTATAACCCCACCCTAATCATCTGTTCTGCAAATACATATATTCTTTTCATACATTCATATATTCTCAAAGGGAAAAGGGGGAGCTGAAGAAAAGGAAAGGTAGAACAAAATAATACATTTTTAAAAAAATGATATGGTAGGCAGACTGTCTTCATATACAAATGACACGTTTTAATACACGGTACCTCTTAATTTCATTATTATGTGATAACTTTGGCCCTAGGACTTACTGATATAAAAGAAGTAAAAACTTATAGACAAAAATAACTAAAAAGATTATGTAGTTTAATTTTTTTTTTTTACTTTCAGGTACCTAGAATTTATAGTTATATTAAGGAAAACCTCAGATATAAGCATCATGCATAACTTGGAAAGGAATAACCTCTTAATAAATAATGACATGTTAACAAATATATTTCCATCAAAATATTTATTTGAATATAGGCACATATATTAAACACAGAAATTAAATTATAAAAGTTTAAAGAATACTCACCGTATTCTGGGTTGCCTTTTAACACTTTCATAGTAAAACAAAAAGTTAATTTCATGGACACCTTCTTCATCCGGTCCCCGTAACCACATTGGTAGCTGGACTGAAGCTCCAGGTAGAAGAACAGTGTCAGGAAGAGGAACAGGAATCACCTCTGGTTGACTTCCTATGCCAATGCCAAAGTCAACAGAAGAAGCTGATGATGTGAGTGCTGTACACACAGAGGTAGAATCTGTCACAACAGTCTTGTAAGCACTACAGTTCTCAGAAGCTGAGGGACTTAGTGGTGTTAGAACAGCAGTATTACCACCAAAAGTAAAGAACTCTGGACGTTTAGAAACAACCTTCAATCCAGTAAGAGGACATTTGCTGACATTGACAAATTCTACATATGCTTTTCGGATTTCTCCACAGAGGAGCCCTGTAGGAAAATGTATAAAGAACACCTGCATTGGAGGGAAAAAATATTATTATATTGTCTGTTAAACATTCTAAACTTCTAATGAATAATACTTTTAAGATGCTATATTTCTTTACTAAAGGTCTACAAGTATTTCATTAATTCTCTTTGATATTACCCCGAGTAATTAATAACTCCATTTTTAGAAAGAGGATGAGACAAAGAAACTAATGTCACTCTCACAAAATGTAGTAAATTTTGGAGTAGAAGTAAAAATCAGTATATATAACAATCTTAATAACTGAAAAACATTTAAACGATATAGTTTAAGGAAAACTACAGTGAATAGTATAATGTAAAAGTACATATTTTGGGATCCTCTACTGATTTTTATTATTACAACTTTAACCAGAGGGATCAGTCTTCCCTTTTGAAAGTAAGCTCTAGAAAATTCTTAAATAATGCCAAACAAAATGTCTGTTAGTGACTCCTAAACTATAATGGTAAAGAGCCCTAAAACAGCATTTGAATCCCACCTCATTATAATTCATCTCCAGCCTTATAACTCCTAGCCATAGCAATGAAATCCTAATAAAAAATCTAATGGATTATTATGGGAACTTGACAATCTTGGACACAACTGGCCCAAGTATAATCAAGACCAAAAAAAAAAAAAAAATTAATGATTATTGAGAGAGACTTAGCTTACCAGATTAAAAAAAATCATGATAATGCAATAGTATGGTGGTGGCACAAAAAGAGATGAAAGAAATCAATGGGACAGAATAGGGAGCATCCAAAAATAGGTGTGAGTAGTTTCAGAATATTAGTACATTAGAAAGACAGCATAATGAGTCACCCATATTCACAGTTTGATCACTACCTCCTTGACACTCAGAAAAGTATATTCCATTGCAATAAAAAAAATGCATTAAAAAGTTAAAACTAAAAGTTTTTACTAGACAAGTCTCTGTAAGTAAATATAAAACACAGAAGCAAAAAGACTATGAGACATGACTTCACATAAGTTAAAAACTCAACATGGTAGAAGACACCATAATCAAAGTTAAAATATGTACAAAGTATTTATCAAACCAGAAATTGGCACCCAGGCCAGTCCAGAAGCCTTTCACTTGCCTACACAACCTTTTAAATACAACAGAATTAAGCAAGTATTACACTTGGGCACAATGCATGCAGCTCAGCAATTCCCTTCACTCAACACACACACACACACACCACTTACCAACATCTTCATGAGTATGTTACCTACCCTCCTCCTATGAAAACCAAACCCACTGCTGTCGAGTGGATTCTGACCCAGCAACCCTAGAGGACAGAGCAGAACTGCCCCACAGGGTTTCCAAGGCTGTCATCTTTACGGAAGCAGACTGCCACATCTTTCTCCCGCAGAGTGGCTAGTGGGTTCGAAACACCAACCTTCTGGTTAGCAGCTGAGTGTTTTAACTACTGTGCCAACAGGGTTCCTCCCTCTCCTACAGATACCCAAAACATCATACAATGAGAAAACAGGAAATAACACCCAACTGAAAGGGTATAAGCAGGCAATTAAGAGGAAAAAAAAAAAAATATGGACAAAAAACATGAAGACTGATCAACCTTATCGTTAATCAGAGAAACGTAAATGAAAACATCATTTTTCACCAATCTGATTTTCAAAAGTTAAAAAAAGAAAAAACTGATGATATCCATCCAGTACAGCACAGAAGTGAGGCAATCTGCATTCTCAATCACTTCAGAAGAGAAGTGTAAATTACTACAGTCTTAGCAAAGAGAATTTTGTAGTATATTGCAAAATTTAAATGTGTACACCCCTCGACCAACCACTTGCATTTCTAGAGTCTAGTCTATACTAACACACGGACCAAACATATGCATAACATTTACTACAGATGAAAAACTAGAACCACACCCATCAATATATAAATGGCTAAAATATAATATACCCAAATAGAAGCCCTGGTGGCGTAGCGGTTAAAAGTTTGGCTGCTAACCGAAAAAGGTCAGCAGTTTGAATTCACCCGCCACTCCTTGGAAACTCTATGGGGCAGTTCTACTGTCTTATTGGGTCTCTATGAGTCAATCTACTCCAGCAACAGGTTTGTTTTTGTATTTTTTTTTATTCCCAAATAAAGGAATACCATATGCATCTATTAAAAAGGAATTATTATTGAATGAAAAATGGCCCAAATTACACTGTTAAAGACAAAAAGCAAATCAAAGGATAATATATGTTAACAAGTTAACACGTGTGATATTATTCCATTTATAGTTATTAAAACTATATATAAGTATACAATGAAAGGTTTGAAAAAATCACCACCAATTTGGTATCACAAGTACCTTTTGAAGGTAGGTTGCTGAGCTTACAAGTCCCCTACAGAGAAACCTGAGGATGCAGGAGGAAGGTTCTCCTTCCAGTGTTTGCATTTATACCATATACCCCTGTCCTTGATCTGGCTCTCTGGTAGAGACCTGATCCAAGGTAGGCTAGATTTCTCTCCCAGAAACTTGAAATTTGTAATAAAGTAGCACAAAGACTAGCAGCTGTTAGACAAGAATCATATCAAAAGCAATGCTTCTGAAGTCTCAGATATGTTTGCTGCTAAATTCCCTGGAGCTACAGAATCCTTTCCTTCTTTGAGACTTGTTCTGTAATACTTTAATTTCCGTAAGATATTCAAAATCCTTCAACTAAATAATACATTTTCTCTTTCTTTGCTTATGTAGCTAGCATCAGTTTCTATCTTTTGATACTAAAAGAACTTAAACTCATGTAGTATGAAACTAGGACTGGGTGAGATATGAAAAGGATGAAGGGGAACATTGCCTTTTACTTCACACTTCTATACTGCCTGAATTTTTCACTAGCATTTATTCACGTATTATTTTTATAAATCAAAAGAAAAAAGGACCATTGATTTAATAATACCCAAAGTGTTCTTTTAGAAATGTTTTTCCAATTTTCATTAGCATTTTGAGAGTTGTATTTTATAACCTGGCTGTAAATTAATGCTAATTTACATGACTGCCCCACCTTTGTGAATTAGATATATTTAATCCTAGCTTAATAATTTTAAAGTACAGTTCAATGTAATATCACCTCAAAATCTAAAATCAATATACTCAAAATGTCTTCTGATAATATAGGTAAGTTATTAAGCCCATGAAAATTTTAAAAGTGAAATACCTCCAGTAGTGGCATTTCCTCAGTGATTATAGGATCTAAACGTCGATCTGGACCGTATTTAATGGACGTTTTCTCTTCTTTTGTGTTGTTAAGTCGAGGACCTTGAATTTCTAAATCCTGTCTCCCTCGTACTGACATACTACTCAAGGAATGTTTTCCTGAAATGCAAAACAATCAATGGCCTAAAGTAATTTAGTATGCTAACTACATCCATTTAGCTTGAATATATGAATACTGAAACTTTCAGATTAATTAAATGCTTTACTAAAGCAGAAGAATTCTAGGCACTTCCTGATTAGCCTGATTAATCAAAAAAATAAGATATCTTATTTCCATATTTAACAACTATGCCACTTAATTTCTCATTTTGTTAGGACTTACTTTGCAGAAGGACACATCACTGAATAGGAGGTCCTTTGAAACCTATATTTAACCATAATGCTTATTAACTAAAAAGAGCTATCTGAAAGAACACCAGTCTTAGGCCCAATGAGAGGCAATGAGGCCAATTCAGGTTATGATAAGAGGTACGTATTTTCAAAGAAAACAAATTTCAAAACAGCAAACAGGTCAACTTTTCACTTTTACTCATATTCAAATATACATACTAATTTGAATTATTTCTGGATTATAAATAACTAAATCTTCTCAACAGATTGCACAAAGAAAATTAAATATAGTATCAGATGGCTTTATCAAAATTACACTCATTTAATATTCACATGAGATTATTCCTAAAGGCTTCCACACAATACATGCTATGCTTGAAAAAGTTTGGGTATACAACTATCTTTACTATAGGACTACTCAGAGCCTTTAATGTGCTGAATGAATACCACTGCGATGCTTCCAGACTGGATCTATAATGCTGCATTCCTTACACTTACATGACCCAGAACCCTACCAGTATTTTACATAATAATGAACTACACTAAAACATCATAAAAACTCTGCTTACAAGATGAGATTTATTTCAGTAGTTAATTCAGGGACTCCTCCCACTAATTCCATAAACTTGAGATATAAATTATGATATAAATGCATATATTTACAAACCAATTAGCTATATTTTATTGACAACCATAACATTGTGGTACCAGGTTAAGAGCCTGGTTATATAAAAGTGGGAAAGGAAAGGGACTTGGAAAAGTTCATATACCCAGTTAATTTACTTAAAATATGCAACGAATTAGGATTATTTTTAAATGAATTTTGTCTAGTGCTTATCAACCAAGAATTACAAATACAGTACTTAAACGCAGAATTTGTACAGAAATTGCTAAATGGGAACAAAATTTGCTGTGTAAACTTTCACTGAAAACACAACAAAATATTATTCAAAAAAAAAGAAAGAAAATACTTCACTTTAATTTTATTCTGTGGAATGATCTTAAATATTAGCATTCTAATTGTTAAGCAATGCTATAGCTTTACCTGTGTGACATCCAGGAAGAGCACCAATGCCATCCACTGTCATGGAGCCCTGAACTGTGCCAAGATTATAAACAATTCCAAGAATATGCAGCTCTCCTATGTGATGGGGAAAGAGCTTTAATCTTGCCTGTGGAGATATTTAAGTCACTCTCATTATCTATTTTCTTAATATCTTAAATAGTGCAATACATAAATGCTGTAATGCTGCAAAATTATAAACACATGACCTAAATTTTTAAATCACCAATTAATTTCTCTTATTTAAGAGCATTTTCTTCAAAAGAAAATCTCTAAATTCAATAACTATGGGCCTGGATCCTCAACAATACTTTTAATAATTCAAATATTTTGACCAAGTAAATATCATGTGACATTATCACACTGGCCCCAAGAAGAAAGCAAAAGCTTTGTACTAGGCTTCTTATGAAATTAACAAATCAAAGAACACTGCAAGCCTACTTTTCCCACAGTTTCCTCTTGATTAATTCAAGTTTCCTAGTCTTCCAAATTTTAGCTAAAAAAACACGAAAATAAAAAAACTAAATGAATTAAATGATCCGTTTGTTTTTCAGCTTACTTCTAGAAAGAATAAAAAGGTATAGGACAGAAAAATGATAGGAAAACAATTACCACTTTAGATTCTTCACTATTAACAAGGAATTCTGAAATAACTTCAGTTCCAATCATTTCAGGTTCACCTGTGACCTGAAAAATAAATTATTTTATAAAATATACATTCTAATGAAGAAAATATCAGATTATTAACATTCCTATACGTCAGTACTTAAGAACAATAACAACAGTTAATATTTACTCCTGCTAAGTTCCTACTATGTGCTAAGCTCTATGTAAACTGTTTTATTTCCACACCATCCATGCAGTGGTAGGAACTTTATATACAGTTTTTTTTTTCATTCAGTCCAACTCATTTGAGGATAAGTGATCTATTCAAAGTTGCAGCCACCAGGAGAAAAAGTTCAGCTGTTCACTGTCAAAAATGACCAAAATGGCCATTCAATTTAATCTTGCAGGAAATTTCTCCATCTTTTACATCTACCAGCCTCTTCAAAATTGCTTAATTATACATAAAAAACATAATGACAGCCAGAGCAGGGTGAAGAGGACAATAAGGGCAAGCAGGAAGGAGAAAGAAAGGCCTGTCTGCAGAAAACCAGTGACATCTGTAGTAGACTACTGTAACAAGGCAGAACTAACTGACTCACACTGGCGGTAAACCTAATCCGCATTATGGTCCTCATTAACACTATTTTACTTTTTCCATGAAATTTGTTGTTGGACACAAGAACTAAAATGTACATCTTCTGAAATTCCAGTTCAGCATCTTAGCCCGTAACACTAGAAGTTCATGAAGAAATCCAAAGAATTTAAAATTTATAGGAAAAAATGAAATTGTTTATTAAAAAAAATAATTTCAACACACCATGAAATATACAAATCTATAAGGTATAAAACACAACTTTCAACAAATGAAATTTTTTCATTAACTTTAATAAACCTCCTTTAAAATCTAGTATATTGCAAAGACTTACTTAAAGAATAGGTCTTTTTAAAAAACTTTTCCAAGATTGATACAGACTCTTCTAGTCTGTATCCTAGATATTCAAAAATATTAGAAAAATTGTTAAAGTTGCTACTATTTAAATCAGAATTGTTGTGATTTTGTTAGCTGCCATCAAGTCGGCTCTGACTCATGGTGATCTTATGCATAACATAACTAAACATGGAAAATGTCAATCTTCAAACTACTCACAATGAGCACAAATAATCACAAAATGTCTTCAATGAATTTATCCAGCAAAACTTTAAATAAAGCAATCTTTAAATAATCAAAGCACTTCAAGAGGAAGAGAAATACTTTAAAGCTTATAAAATATCAAAGTCATTAGAACAACTATGAAAGGAGAAAGAACAACAATGAATCTATGAACCATCTCATAACATGGATGAAACTGGAGGACATTACGCTGAGTGAAATAAGTCAATCACAAAAGGACAAATATTGTATGAGACCTCTATTGTAAAAACCCATGAAAAAGTTCACACACAAAATGTAACAATCTTTGTTGGTTACAAGGGATGGGAGGGGTGGGGGGGAAATACTAAATAGGCAATAGATGAGTGAGATCTTGGGTGAAGGGTGAGACAGTATACAATACAGGAGAAACTAGGACAACTTGTACAAGGAAAGGACATGGAAGCCCCATAGACACATCCAAACTCCCCGAGGGACTGAACTGCTGGGCGGAGGGCTCTGGGGACCATGGTCTCAGGGAACATCTAGCTCAATTGGCATGACACAGCTTATGAAGACAATGCTCTACATTCTACCTTGGTGAGTAGTGTCTGGGGTCTTAAAAGCCTGTGAGCGGCCATCTAAGATACTCCACTGGTCTCATCCCTTCGGGAGCAAGGGAGAATGAAGAGAACACGATACAAGGAAAAGATCAGTCCGAAGGACTAATTGTCCACAGCTACCAAGGCCTCCACCAGACTGAGACCAGTACAGCTAGATGGTGCCCGGCTACCACCACCGACTGCTCTGACTAGGATCACAATAGACGGTTCTGGACAGAGCTGGAGAAGGATGTAGAGCATAATTCTAACCCAAAAAAAAAAAAAAGACCAGATTTACTGGCCTAAAGGAGACTGGAGAAACCTCGAGATTATGGCCCCCAGACACCCTTTTAGCTCAATGGTGAAATTACCTCCGAGGTTCACTGTTCAGCCTGGGAGTGGACAGCCCTGTAAAACCAAATGAGACTAACGAGGTACAGGAGTCCAGGGACAAGGGCCAGAAAGCAGAAGGGGAGAAGGAAGCGGTGAGTAAGGTTATTGTTGATGTGTTGTGAGATTGTTAACTATTGTCATAGGGCAACATTTGTAGTAACTGTTAAATGAGAAACTATTTTGTTCTGTAAGCCTTCATCTTAAGTGAGAATAACAGCGCAATTGGAAGAGCGTAGTCAATGTCACTGAACTGTGCATGTAGAAATTTTTGAAATGGTGTATTTTTGGCTATGTGTATTTTCACCAAAAAAAAAAAAAAGGTTGAGAAGTTAGAGGGTTGACATGTTGTGGTGTTGTTATCCAATGTCATAAAACAGCACGTGTACTTTTGTTTCATGAGAAACTATTTGTTCTGTAAGCCTTCACCTGAAGTACAATAAAAATAAATAAATAAAAATTTATACAAAGTCAGTAGAACAGACACCTTCTTTCATGTTGTCTTCATAGACCACCAGCAAAATGTTGGGATATTTCCTAGTTCCAAAACAACTGTTTTACCACATTACTGAAGCATACAGCAAGGTAGTATTATTCCTCCTTGTATTTAAATATATAAAGAGCTTATTATAGACATGGATAAGAAAAGAAAAAAAAAATACAGTCACAAAAGAGGAAATATGAATACAAGAACTTCAACTTCACTAGAAATCAATGAAATGGGAAATAAAATAGTAAGGTAGCATATCTACATATAAACCAACAAAGCTTTTTTTTCTAAACAATAATGCTTACTATTGGGAAGATCAGGTACCCAATCCAATATGCTGCTGGTGAGAAGTTAATAGGCATGACATTTTGGAAAACCAATAGGATACTAAAATATTCATTCCCTAAAATCCTCTAATGTCATGCCTGTGAAACTTTCCTACATCAATAATCAGAAATAAGGATAAAAAGCTATGAACAAAAATATTCATCACAGAATTACCATGATAGCAAACAAACAGAAACTTCCAAAACAACAATAAGAGATAGGAGAACTTATGAATCCATATGAAATATTACATAAAAATTAAATATTAAGCCATTTTAATAGCAGAATATATACATAAAACAACAACAAAAAAAGCAGGAAAGAAATGCAAACACACAGTATAGATCCCAACTATGTGGGCAAAATACACAAATGGAGACAACTGAAAAGTCATACAGCAAAATGTTAAAGCTATTATTTTTAGATATCATGAAGACTGCTTTACTTTTATTCCTTATGTTTTTCTGTATTCTCAATTTTCAACAATAAGTATATATCGTAATTTTTATAACAAGGGAAAAAAATAAGTATAAAAAAGAATAAGCATAGCTCACTAAGCAGAAGTTGAAACGTTATTACAGTATCTGTTAGGCTATAACTGAAACATGCTTATTACAGATACCTTTTAATAACTTACTAGTTCTTTAACTTCTTCATTATCCTTTGCACTGAAATCTTTAGGTTGAAATTTCCAGAGCAATGACAAATCAGTCAACAAAAGTGGAACCTTCAAAGGATTTCTAAAAGCCACTTCCACTGTTACTGGTTCTATACAAGAAAAGCCAAAATTAGTAACTTTAATAAACCTCACATATCAAGCTACCCTTCAATTCTCTGAATATATACCTTGCTTTCTTATCTCTACATTTTTACTTAGAATGTCCCTTGTTGTTGTTATTGATGTTAGCTGCTATCGAATCTATTCCAACTCATAGTGACTACTATGTGTGCAGAGCAGAACTGCTCCATAAGGCTTTCAAGGTTATGACTTTTCAGAAGCAGATCGCCAGGTCTGTCTTCTAAGGCACCTCTGGGTGGTTTCGAACCACCAACCTTTCAGCTACTAGCCAAGCATCTAACCATCTGAGGCACCCAGGAACTCCCAGAATGTCCCTTACATCCTTATAAATGTCATTTATTCAGGATTTAGTTTTTAAATTTTCTCCTCTAGAAGTTTTACCCAATTTCTCTGTACCAGAGAATGTCATTCTCTCTTTTATAATCTAACAGCACATTGCATATACTTGCATTAGAGCCCCCACCACTTGGGGTTCTTGAATAATGTTTCCATTCCTAGCTTCCAGTAATGTTTGGTATACAGTAAATTATCTTGAATCTGCTTTAAGCAACAAATAAAACAAAATATGAAATATTTAAATATATCACCTTCTACAACTGCAAGAGGAAATCTTGAGTTATCTGAATAACTATTCAAACAATATTGTGTGGGATGGAAACCGGATGGAATTGTTCCTTTGTTAACCACAGCCACAACTTGTTCCTCAAGTTCTCGCCACTGCTGAGAAGATTCAGAGTCATATTCTTGATCAAGACTTACATGAGTAGCTGCTTGCTTTTCACCTAAAAAAAAAAAAAAAGTGACAATTAAATGCCATGATTATAAACATCTTCCCTCATATGAAACACATTTTAAATAAAAATATAAGGTAGCCAAATACACCCAATCCTCACTTACTGACGTAGTTAGGTTCCAAAGACCAGGTCATTGTGCAAAAATCACCATTATGCGAAAATCGAGGATTTTTTTTGTGTGTGTTTTCAAACCATCCTAAACATTTATCATTTTTTTTTTTATTTAGAAAATATGATCATAGAAATAATAACAGCTAAGATTTACTGCCCACGTGTCTGTCCATTTGTCATACTGTGGGGGCTTGTGTGTTGCTGTGATGCTGGAAGCTATGCCACTGGTATTCACATACCAACAAGGTCACCCATGGCAGAGAGGTTTCAGGTGAGCTTCCAGACTAAGACAGACTAGGAAGAAGGGCCTGGAGGGCTACTTCTGAAAAGAATTAGCCAGTGAAAACCTTATGAATAGCAGTGAAACACTATCTGATATAGTGCCAGAAGATGAGCCCCTCAGTTTGGAAGGCACTCAAAAGACGGCTGGGGAATAGCTGCCTCCTCAGAGTAGAGTCGACCTTAACGACGTGGATGTAGTCAAGCTTTCGGGACCTTCATTTGCTGATGTGGCATGACTCAAATGAGAAGAAACAGCTGCAAACATCGATTAATAATCAGAACCTGGAATGTACAAAGTATCAATCTAGGAAAACCGGAGACCGTCAAAAATGAAATGCAGTGCATAAAGATCGCTATCTTAGGCATTAGTGAGCTGAAATGGACTGGTATTGGTCATTCTGAATCGGACAATCATATGATCTACTATCCTGGGAATGACAACCTGAAGAGGAATGGCACTGCATACACTATCAAAAAGAACGTTTCAAGGTCTATCCTGAAGTACAACGCTGTCAGTGATAATATACATACGCTTACCAAGAAGACTAGTTAATACAACTATCATTCAAATTTACGTGCCAACTACTAAGGCCAAAGATGAAGAAATTGAAGATTTCTACCAACTTCTGCAGTCTGAAATTGATCAAACATGTAATCAGGATGCACTGATAATTACTGGTGACTGGAATGCGAAGTTGGAAATGAAGACAGACTGGTAGTTGGAAAATATGGCCTTGGTGACAGAAATGATGCCGGAGATTGAATGACTGAATTTTGCAAGACCAATGACTTCTTCACTGCAAATACCTTTTGTCACCAGCATAAATGGCAACTATACACATGAACCTCGCTAGATGGAATATACAGGAATCTAATCGACTACATCTGTGGAAAGAGATGATGGAAAAGCTCAATATCATCAGTCAGAAGAAGGCCGGGGCCAACTGCAGATCAGACCACCAATTACTCGTATGCAAGTTCAAGTTGAAACTGAAGAAAATTAGAACAAGTCCATGAAAGCCAAAGTAGGACCTTGAATATATCCCACCTGAATTTAGAGACCATCTCAAAAACAGATGTGACATGCTGAACACTAATGACTGAAGACCAGATGAGTTGTGGAATCACATCAAGGACATTATACATGAAGAAAGCAAGAGGTCATTAAAAAGACAAGAGAGAAAGAAAAGACCTAAATGGATGTCAGAAGAGACTCTGAAATTTGCTCCTGAACGTCGAGTAGCTAAAGCAAAAGGACGAAATGATGAAGGGCTGAATAGAAGATTTCAAAGGGCAGCTTGAGAAGACAAAGTAAAGTATTACAATGACAAATGCAAAGATCTGGAGTTAGAAAACCAAAAGGGAAGAACACGCTCGGTATTTCTCAAGCTGAAAGAACTGAAGAAAAAATTCAGACCTCGAGTTGCAATAGTGAAGGATCCTACGGGGAAAATATTAAGACGATGCAGGAAGCATCAAAAGAAGACGGAAGGAATACACAGAGTCACTATACCAAAAAGAATTAGTTGACGTTCAACCATTTCAGGAGGTAACATACGATCAAGAACCAATGGTAATGAAGGAAGAAGTCCAAGCTGCACCAAAAGCATTGGCAAAAAACAAGGCTCCGGAACTGACAGAATTCCAATTGACATGTTTCAACAAAGGGATGCAGCGCTGGAAGTGCTCTCTCACCCATACAAAGAAATCTGGAAGACAGCTACCTGGCCAACCAACTAGAAGAAATCCATATTTGTGCCTATTCCCAAGAAAGGTGATCCAACTGAATGTAGAAATTACCTCACAATATCATTAATACCACATGCAAGCAAAATTTTGCTGAAGATCATTCAAAAGCAGCTGCAGCAGTATATCGACAAGAAACTGCCAGAAATTCAAGCCAGATTTAGAAGACGTAGAACCAAGGATATCACTGCTGATGTCAGATGGATCCTGGCTGAAAGCAGAGAATACCAGAAAGATGTTTACCTGTGTTTTATTGACTATGCAAAGGCATTGGACTGTGTGGATCATAACAAATTATGGATGACATTGCGAAGAA